AGGCAAGCGAATTTTGGGAATAATGAGGGCAACAAATGTATAGATGTGCTTTACACAATTGATCTATGTATTGTGATGAATTGCATGAGCCCCAATAAATTGATTAAAAAAAAATGTTTATACTCTAGCCCTTAATCCAAGATAAAGTGTAGGTATCAGCTTTTGCAAGTCCCTGGAGTGCTCTAGTCTGCAGCTTCGTCCCACCCCCCAGCCTTTCTAACACACACACACACACACACACACACACACACACACACACACACACGGGACTATCGACCATTTGGGAAACAATAGGCAACATTCACAAGACCTCCATATATTAGCTTTTGTTGAGTTTTACTATCTTTGTTGTTGTTCCAGTGGTTCCCAACGGTTCTCCAACAAAATGTACACATAAAAAGGCTTGAATCAAGTTGTGGCTAAATGCATAAATGTTCGTTCTAAGAAAGATTTACAAACACTGCTTAAATACAAAGTTACTACATTAAAGACAGAAGATTCTAATTTTTCTTGGTAGGTATAAATTTCTCCTTTTCATCCTAAGGAAAGGCAAGAGTTTTCCCTAACTTCGTGAAAATTTAAATTAAATATGAATTGCTAATAATTACAAAGTAAGCCAGAGAGATGAAAGTATTCATGTTGCTTCGTGCAAGTTCATCAGGGAATCACAGATCAGCAAGAGATAACTGGTGTGACACAGTTCCAAGCAGAAATCAAGAAGCCTCCCCAGCCCAGCAATAGTAGCCCACTCAGAAGAGAAGAGAACAAATGCTGGTGAGAGTGTAGAAAATGGGAGGGCACGTCCGTAAAAAGTTGCAAATAGAAATAGCATTTGCTCCAACAATCCCATGTGTAAGTCTGTATCCATCCTAAAGAAATAAGAGCCAGGACACAGACAGACATAAGTACATCCATGCATCCATGTTTACTGGAGCACTGCTCACAAGAGCAAAGAGAGAAACAATCAAGTGCCCATCAACACAGGGATAATGGGTAAACAAACTGGAAAAAGACCATAGTGATGAAATACTATTATTAATTTTTTTAACATTTTGGGTGTAAGTTTATATTCTGAGGCAGCAGAAAATTGCTGTGAGTGCCATTGAGTTGGTTCTTTTTTTTTAATCTGGATTTCTTTTTTTTTAAATCATTTTATTGGGGGCTCATACAACTTTTATCCCAATCCATACACACATCGATTGTGTAAAGCGCATTTGTACATTCATTGCCCTCATCATTCTCAAAACATATTCTCTCCCCTTAAACCCCCGGCATTAGGCCCTCATTTTCCCCCTCCCTCATGAGCCCTTGATAGTTTATAAATTGTTATTTTGTCATATCTTGCCCTGTCCGACGTTTCCCTTCACCCACTTTTCTGTTGTCCGTCCCCCAGGGAGGAGGTCACATATAGTT